GGGGGGGGCTTGCTGTTAGGAAGTACTTTTGTTGCACACCCGGATATGGTGCTGCCTACGTTGACCCCGATGGGAAGTGCCCCACCAATGCCAAGGTCAACATCCAAGCTGTCACCGCCCAACCGCCTGAAGATGCAAGGGGAGGGAATTAAGTCACCCCCGAAAAGATGGCCTAGCCATTTTTTCAGGGCTCAAAAAAAAAAAAATCCGGCCTTATTATATGAGAAACACGGTATTCACCCACAAAGAGAAATATTTTAATGAGTATGTTGTCATCTATCCTTAAAAGATTCCTACCTGGCTTGCATTTCAGTCCTGACACAAAATATTCATTTAACTTCCCTGACTGAACTCGTTTAATTAGTTTTACAGTGCTATGGATCATATCATTGAGAACATCTCCAAAGAGATCCAAGATCACCATGTTTAGAAAACTAGGCTCATCTGCCCTGCATCCCCAGATTCAGTGGTCTTCCTTTGCTCTTCCTTCCTTGCTTCCAAGAACTGAGAAGGACTCCCAACACAACTTACCTTTCCAGCATAGTGTTCTATTCGAAAGCAGTTGACAGGCAAGCTGGTATCCATGATGTGCTTGGCATTCTGGGTAACTCTGCTCTCATAGCGCTGATGTTTCAAAAAGACCTGGTTAAGTTTGTTCAGGAATGTTTCTTCATTCACTTCTCCAGGGCGAAGGCACTCTTCATCCAACATAGCTAGAATTCCACTTTTATTCTATTAAAAGAAGTATCAATTACCATGCTGCTCTCCCCATATTTTTTTCACTCCTGACCTTGCACAGTCTGAACAATTGTCCAAAACATCAGAAAAACAAGGCAGTGGTGATATTTGAAAAAATCAATACCCTGCAGCTCTCCAGACCAGCGGTTGCCAACCGGTCAGCTGTGGCCCACTGATGGTTTATGAGAAAATTTTGGTGGTTCGCAGAGAAATGTCATCCCCAGAGCACCCCCCAAAGCAATTAATCCAGGCTGCATGGGAACACAAGGCTGCGCACCCCACATGGCCCGCAGGAACCCTCCCTGCCCACTCACTCCTTACCTTGAAAACTTGCCTGCTAAGTTGCTATTTTTCCTTTTTTTCCCCAACAATCAGCTGTTCTACTGTGCCGGGAGATTTAGATTAGCTAGAGAGCAGGAAATCATTTTATTTCTTGCTTTCTAGCTAGTCTTTAGATCTTCTACTCTGCTTTTAAGCAGAGCCGAACCTTCCTTAGGACTGAAGCTTCTATTATTCAGTGCAGACTCACTGCAAGCAAATTTTATGTGACAGATTCAGGTAGCTGATGGCAGAAAGATAGATCTCTGAATGATTCTGTGAGCAACTCAATCTGCCTGCCTGCTTTGCCTGATTTTGGGTAAAAGTTGCATTTTTTATATACAAAAATTCAATATTTATATAAATATTTATAATATTTACATATAAGCCATGCCCAGCCAGTCATATGACCACCAAGCCACACCCACAAATTAGGCCACACCCACAGAACAGGCTAAGAACTTTGAATCCCACCCCTGCCTCTGTGTGTTTGTGTGTGTGTGTGTGTGTGAGGGGGAGAGAGGTTATATGAGATCTCTCTCTCTCTCACACACACACACACGAAAGTCAGCAAACCACTATCAGTCAAAATTCATAATAGTGGTCCCCGGGATTTAAAATTATGAATTTGGTGGTCCCTGAGGTGCAAAAGGTTGGCGACCCCTGCTGCAGACCACACTACATATTGTTGATAGGGGCTCCTTGGAGCTATGGAGAGATTTGGAGTGGGGTGGGGGCTCACCGACAGGTAGGAAATCTTCCCCATCAATTTTTCAAAGTTATTTTATCATAGATTCTAAGCCAGTATCCCCCAACCTGGACACAGGTATCCAAACTTCCCCAACTGGCATGACTATTTCTGAAGATTGAATGCCCATATCTGGAGGATGCTAAGGTTGGGGAATAATGGTGTGAGCGATCACATTTCCAATTATTTATGCAGATTTGCATCCAGGTTTCTCTAGTCAGAGTACCAACACTGCAACACATTCCAAAGACTCTGGACACTCTACAGGCACCAACAAAAAGAATAGATTTGGCTGATACTGGCATTACCCCTGCTTCACCCTCTCTTGTTTTGAAAGCAACTTACGTCTTCAATCAAGTTACAGATGATGCTGTTATCAAAATAATCCACGTGGGTCCAAGTAATGCCCTGGTTGGGAGAAAAAAAAAAGTTACATCAGCAATGGAAGGAAGTCTTATGGTACTGCTTATTACAATGTGTGTGGAAAACTCTTATGCCACCTGACCAAGGCAGAGACGTGGCAGGGAGAAACTCTTGATACCAACTCCTGGTTGATCAGCTGCCTCTAGATCCGAAGCAAAGTTTGCCGGAGAAAGGAGAAATCAGGAGATCACCCACTGGTGCTCCAGAATTGCCCAGGAAATTAGTTTCTTGTGGTTGATTGCAAACCGAGCGCTTACTGAACCGGTAGGATCCCACCCCTGCTCTCAGTGTACATAAAAATACATTCATCAAGAATCATAAGATACAACACTCAGAGATAATCATAGGATACTAAATAAGCAATCAAAATCATACTCGGAAACTAAATAAAACAATATAAATTGTAAAGATACAAGCAACAAGGTTATAAGCAATCAAAATCATACTCGGAAACTAAATAAAACAATATAAATTGTAAAGATACAAGCAACAAGGTTATCGTAATAAGTAGAAGGAGATAGGTAATAGGAAGGATGGGAAGAATAATAGTAATACAGTCTTAGTAAATAGTTTGACAGTGTTGTAGGAATTAGTTGTTTAGCTGAGTGATTTCTCAATTTCCTTTTTTTGTTACATTTAATAGTTCATATGGTTTTTTAATCTTTCTAAAGACTTTTAATAAAACTGTTCTTAAAAAAATAAACGAGAGGATTGTTCATACCTTTTCATCACAGCTGTAATTGGGAAAAGTCACTAAACAAGGTAAATGAGGATTACCTGTAGAACAAACTGGCTCTCCATGATGGACTACAATACACTGAAATGTATTTGTCCTGCAGATATTACTTCATTTTGTACCACCAATTTAGCCAACTGTGCCATTTCCTCCATTGTGTAAAATCTATCAGAACCCCAGATTATTATTTTTTAAATATTCCATTTAACCTTGAGTTTAAGGAGGACCTCAGCACATTTGGATTACTTGGTCTTTTTGGGGGGCAGAGAATATGAATATTTCTATCAGTGAACCAGACCCAGAAACAAAATAATTGGCTACCTCACGAATGTATTCTTCTTGTTCCTCCTTTAAGGTGAGCAGGATGAAGATCTGCTGCAGCTTCTCATTACAGTAATTGATAATGAACTGTTCAAAACTGTTATCCTGGGAAGAAGAGACAAGACAAATATCAAAAATCAAAGTCAATAGGCTAAACTTGTAACCTATTTTGTAGTTAGGAGGTCTTATAAAACATTTAAAGTTCTACTTAGTTCAACAAGCCTGATTACCTGTGTGGCCAAAGAATTTTATTGGAAAAGGAACTGTCAAACATGGGAAAAGTCTAGGCACTAAATGAATATAAATGTTTATTGCAAGTTTATGTGCTCTACAAGAATCTGAAATCCTAAGTCAAGGGTCTTCAAACTTGGCAAGTTTAAGACTTGTGGACTTCAACTCCCAGGATTCCTGAGCAAACATGACTGGAGGAGGAATTCCGGGAGTTGAAGTCCACAAGTCTTAAAGCTGTCAAGTTTGAAGACCCCTGTCCTAAATCAAAGTTAACTGATGGTAGGTAAGAATTAATGGAATTTAAGGTAGGCTAGAATTACTCTCTTGTGAGCATGAAAACTACAGACCAATCTCATTGTGTTGTGTCACGTGCAAAGTCATGGAATCAATCATTAACCAATTCATCACCCTCCACTTAGAGTCAAACAACCTATTATTCAAAAAACAATTTGGTTTCAGGAAAAAATTGTCCAGCAATCTTCAACTCCTATACTGCAAAAACATATGGACTACTCTACTTGACCAGGCTAAAGCTGTAGACGCAATTTACATAGACTTCTGCAAAGCCTTTGATTCAGTAGTACATGACAAACTACTGTCACCTTATAAGCAACTGCGTCCTCTTTGCCAATGATGTAAAACTATTCAACACCAACAATGCTACTGTCCTTCAAAGCAACCTTGATTATGTGTCTGAATGGTCAAACATCTGGCAACTCCAAATCTTGACCAACAAATGTTCTGTCCTACACATTGGTAAACAGTACACCAAATACAAACTAGGCAGATATGACCTCGTTGATAATCCTCACTCTGTCAAGAACCTTGGAGTACTCATATTAAATTACCCAAGTGCCAGAGCTCACTGTAACAGCATTGCCAAAAAGGCATTTAGCGTTGTAAATCTAATCTTACAAAGCTTCTCTTCTGGAAATATTGAATTGCTAACTAGAGCATACAAAACTTTTGCTAAACCAATATTCGAATACAGTTCATCAATCTGGAATTCGCACTGTATATCGGACATTAATACAATTGAGTGAGTCCAGAAGTATTTCATGAGAAGAGTACTACACTCCTCTGCTCACAATAGAATATCCTAAATAACCAGGCTTGAGATTTTGGGCTTGGACAACCTTGAACTACGCCACCTATGGTTGGACTTAAGTGTAGCACACAAAATTATCTGCTACAATGTCCTACCAGTCAATGACTACTTCAGCCTCAACTACAACGATACAAGAGCACACAACGGCCTTCTGTTCATGTCCAGGAAGTGCCTTGCATGTACAAGTATGCAAACAGGTAGGAGCTTCTCTGAAGGTAGGAAAACCCTTGTCCCTTTCTGAGGACAAGGCTGCTTTGGTGCTTTGAAGTGGGGTGTTTTTTTTACACCAGCGCACTTTGCAAAGGCTCCTTTTACAAATGCTTTCTACAGTTCAAACATAGCTAGCTAACCTCCCACATAAACAATTCCCACCACTCATATTGTATAAATATAGGGAAATATGATTCATTTCAAAAGAAGCTAGCATGTAGGACAAGGGTCCTCAAACATGGGAAGTTTAAGACTTGTGGACTTTAACTCCCAGAATTCTTGAGCTAACATGACTGGAGGAGGAATTCTGAGAGTTGAAGTCCACAAGTCTTAAAGCTGTCAAGTTTGAAGACCCCTGATGTAGGACATGTGATTGCAGGTTGTACTATTGCTAAAATTGACAGGTTCTCATAGCAAGTATACATCAGAACATGACCTAAATTAGTTTGGAATATTTGAATCCTTTGTGATGTGATGTTTTTCAGATACACACACACAGGCCCACAGACACAGACCCACACACTTTAAAGCACCAGTAAATCTCAGCTAATTCTGAAACCAATTTGAAGTTCTTTATTAAATCCATGTGTTCAGGAAGAAAATTCCAGGAATATCTTTACCTGAAAAATCTCAAAGCCATATATATCCAGAACACCCATCACTTTCTTCCGCTCAGTTGTTTTCACCTAAGAAGAAGGGGTGTGTGTGGAAATGAGGATTAGTTTCAAAGAATCCCAATGTTCTGAAGGTATCCCCAATTTTCTCTTTTAACCGGGGCCATTGCTTCTATCTTGAACCCAGATTAGGAGTACCAGTTCTAGCATGGAAGGGAAAAAGCATCCCACACTTCATTGTTATGTTCCATCTTATTCCAAGTATCTGCAAAACAGCATATATGGCAGACTTGCCTGGCTTGGGTCCCTACAGTTTGGATGTGCTATTGCTCCTATCATACACTGACAGCATGAGCAATGTGCAAGGATTATAGTCAGGGGTGGGTTTTCAAAAATTTTAGCAAAGGGTTCTCTTCCCAGTTGCTGGGTGGGCGTGGCCATGGTGGGCGTGGCCTAGTCGGCCTCCTGCACCATGGTGGGTGGGGTGGGTGTTTTTATCCTCCCTGGGCTCCAGAGGCTTTCCTCGAGCCTCTGGGAGGGCGAGAATACCCTCCCAGGGCTCCAGAGGCTCTCTGGAAGCTGGAAACAGGCCCATTTCCAGCCTTTCTGAACTTCCAGGGCGCCTGTTTTTCACCCTCCCCAAACACTAGAGCAGTGGTGGCTAACCTTTTTAGGCTCCTGTGCTAAAAACTGGCATGTCAGCACCCAGAAGGCAATGCGTGCACCCCCCATGCCCCCTACACATGCCCGTGCAATCCCCACCCACCCACCCCCACCACCCCCTTACCTGCACTATGCCTCACAGCTGATTTTGGGGCAGTTTGAGGTCTTTTTCGGCCTCCCAAGGGCTTGAGGAAGGCTTCTGCGGGCCAAAAGCTAGCCTGTTTCGTCACTTCTGGTATTTTCGGAAAAAGAGGAAGTGATGAAACGGGGCTAGTTTTCAGCCTGCAAAGCCTGCAGAACCCTTCTCAAGCCTTTGGGAGGCTGAAAAAGGCCTCAAACCAGCCGAAAACCAGCTGTAAGGCACGTGCATGCCCAGTGAGGTAAGTTTGCCTGTAGCTCGTGTGCCAGCACAAATGGCTCTGCGTGACACCTGTGCCATAGGTTTGCCATCAAGGCACTAGAGTTATCCATTCAGCACTGAAATGCAATTTCTAGCCAATTGTGAAAGGGATTTGAATATTGAAAGATGGTTTATACAATTCACACAATTAAAAGAAGGAAAAATAAGACCAGGGCCTGAAATTAGAAGCCCCTCTGGAAAGCAGGAATAATTAATGAGTTGTTTTCCAATTTTTTATCCTCTCTACAACCTTAAGGAGAAGGTG